CAACTAACACTCACATCAACCAGTGTTCATTTATTTATTATTTATTTGATTATTTATTTGTGCGTCCACCTTTTTCTCAAGTTGTTTTAATTGAATCGTCTCCTGTCATTATTTTCTACTTTTACATGTACTGTAAAATGTCTACTTATTTATTTTATTTATGTATTTATTTATGGACTAATTATTTTATATACATTTTGTTTTTTTAAAGAGGTATTTAATAATGTTGCGCAATAATAAATTGGTTATAAACTGAAGTGATTGTTTTCTTCATTTTATATGCTGTAATCAATAAAATAAATGTAAGTGGATAATAACAATCTGTGTGTTTATTTCTTACTACAAATTGTAAGACCCCCCCCCCCCCCAGTGTTTGTTTATTGTTTGAGAAAAATCTAATTAAAACTGTTCCGTCAGCTGGAGAACAGAAAGTTCTTCTCACCAGTCAGCCGCAACAGTGATGCCATGATGCCTTCAGGAAAACTCGGAATAATATTTCACTTAAAACTACGTGCAGTTCCTGTGATTATATCTTACATAGTTTGAACAAAACCACAATATTTATTCATTTCAAGTCTGTCTATATAAATAATAAGTTGTTTTATCACCTTTTTTCATGAAATACCAATAAATTAGTCACAAACACTTATAAAGTTGAGCATTTTCACGACTGTGCTTTTAATCGTAAGAAATCACAAGCACATTTGAGCTACGAAGAGTGTACAAAAAAAGTTAGCAAATCATCAGAACAAATCTGTAACTTTAAAATTGTATTTTTTCAGTCCTTACTTCCAGAGTTGTCTCTTTTACGGGGTTTGTGGGAGGAACAATGAAGGCATCACGAGTTCTTCTCTTCCCGTGATGCTTTGCGCTTCAGTTTTGCTCTAACCGCGCAGGGAGAAGGTTGTGGAGGAAGTTTTTGTTTTTTTCCGGTCTTGTCGGCTCCTCAGCAAAAATTATGGAGAGCGATTATACGGACGGTGTTATATATTTTTAAACTGTGCTCGCCGAGTTTACAAGAATTCACGGAGATTACGTGTCTTTTTTTGGGGGGGGGGAGCTAAATGTGTTAGCCAGCCTGTTTGGGTAAGGAAGCTACTGTTTAAGATGCACAACTAAGATAACGTTGGTTCGTCGTTAAAAATTGCGTTTTCGCTTTTACGTTAACATTTTTGCACTTATCCTACGTGAGCCGTCGTTTAAAGAGGCAATTTTTTAAATTATCTATGACTTATTTAACGCCTTTGTTGGAGCTTTAATGCTCACAGTTGCATTAGCAAATATTTGAAGCAGTTTGTTGAGTTGATCACGTTTAGATGGTGCTACATTATTAGCAGCAAAATCTGCTGTTGCATAAATAAACCTGTGGTCATAGCTGGGCTTAGTAATAAAATCAGCCACCTTCTGTTTGGAGGGAACCAGTTTTTTTGTTTGTTTTCTGATTTGATTTCACAAAGCTCTTTAGACTGAGGAACTTGCACTTCCCTGCAGACTGTGTTTAATCAGAGCCTCACATGACTTCAAGTGGTTACTTATAGGCACCATGAAGTTGCAGAAATATGTCACAGTGTTAGATCCTCGTGATGAGGACAAAAAAAAAAAAAAAAGCAATCCTGTGCCAGGAACAGGAAGTAGAGAAGGAAGAAGCTGCTGAAATACAGTCTTGAACTATTTGTCCTTAATGTCACATGACACAGATGTTTACTACTGACACTTACTTGTTTGCTTCTTGTACATATTGTTTTGTAAGAGAGTTTTTCTGGGTGTTTTAGGTTGCCATTTGGGAGTGAACCTTCCTCAGAGCTACCATGATGCTCGCCACACAGATGCCAGAAACGCCACAGGCGGCTAAAGATGTCAAACAGGTAAAAGCCGCCGTCTCTTGGACGTCCTGCTTTGTTCTTTGCCTCTGGTGAAAAGGTTGCAACGCTAAAGAAGAGATGATTTTTTTTTTTGTTGATTTATCGGCGTTCATGGAGTTCAGCAAACCTTAAACGCACTCCACTTGCCTCCTCTACGTGCCTTAATTAGTTTTGTAGTAATAATACTCCAGATTTAAAAGATGTTGTCACATATTTAAATCTAAAACAAAAGCAACAAAGTACAACAAACAAGCTGTTATTTAACTAGCCATTGGTTAATTAATGATTATGGGGATTTGCTCTTAGATGTGATTGCAGACTAATCACTGAATGGTGCTTACACAACCTTAGCAGCACTACTTCTAAACACATTTATATCATTTTAACTGCGTTATAAGTAGCTCTGTAAAAAGCTGTGTGTTTAGCGCTGTCAAAAGGAAATGGAGTTTTAGTTCAATAGGTAAGGTTTAATGACTTTGACACCACAAGCACTGGAAAAAGTATTACCCTAAAACACAACAGTTAAATAGAAATGGAGATTTACTGGATGAGCATTGTTGTCTAAGAGTTTGATGTGGGATGGGCGTAGATCAGCCGTTTCCTTTTCTCTTGTTTTTTTGTTGTTTGTAATTGCATTTTTACGACTAAAATTAAATTAGTCCTTTCGTACAGTTAAGATGAAGAAATGCTACTTTGTGTTAACCATGGTGATGTAAGTTTTTCCCCACTGGCGCATAGATTGGTGTGGTGTCACCACTTGAGGGAAACGTGTAAAAAGATTCTTCTTTCGGCTGTTCCCTCTTCCACAGCGAGTCGTCCTCCTCGATCTTGCTCTGTCCTCCGCATCCTCAGTCCTTAAGTTTAATGAACTGCACATATGTTGCTTTAATAATGAAATGCACCTAAACTGTAGTTTTTAATTTTTTTTTAACAATTCAGCGTGACTTCAATTTATTGCTTTTTATAT